ATATATAGAAACAAGTATTACTGTAAAAAAGTATAATTTGCCAGGTCAAAAAGTCGTAATGAAAAATAGATAACAATTCCCGGGTTCGATTCCCGGCTGGGGCAGCAACAATTTTTCCTTCATTAATTTGAAGTAGTTTGTAGTGCGTAAAATTTCAGAAATGAATTTTCAAAATAATATTTCATATTAGATAATAATTGTTTATAAATAATAAAATGAAGGATTTACATAATCATTGATTATTTCCACCCTGTTTGAAGTTTAAGAAATGACAGTGTTCGCTTGAATTGTTTAATACGTTCAACATGTTACGATTTAAATTCACAACTACCCAAAGAAAAGTAAAACTAATGCCCCGTAAGAAAGTTCGATATAAAGTTAAGGCTATGTTTAATTTTTTACTGTTACACAATGCGATGCCAGCCACAGTAGTTGGCGAAACGTCAATCAACCCTGAATATCAAGCATTATTCAAACAATACCAAGCATGAAATCATAACCCTTTTTAATCTCTAATCGATCTTAACCCGCCTTACAGCTAAACCTATACCACTTAAGAAGACGTAATCAATTTTTCTGTAACGGTTAAGATTTTTTACGACAACCCCTGAGGTCGCGATCACCACTACTGTATATATACTATATTATAATAACTGTTGCATTTGGATGTAACTTATTGTAGTGCGTCATTTGTGATAAAGATGACTAATTAATATTCTGTTGTTACGGCTAAAATGGATGACTATAGTAAAAATGATGAGAGGTGTGTCACGTTTATCAAATAATGTCGCAAATAAATACAGCACTAATAGATACTTATTCATTTCCGATGAAAATTGTTAGCAAATTGTTTTCATGAAGGCATGTTTATCTTATCAAGAGTCAACATTTGCATCATACTATACTTATACTGATTCTAATCTTGGAATATTTTCAAAAGTCCAGCAAGGCGGTCAATACGTTAACTTATAAATTAGTTCAATGAGCAAATTGCATCGAATTTGAATTTTTTACGTAGAAAAAAAAAAACAAAGAACCATGATAAAGTAGATACAATGCTCACTTTAATGTACAATGTATTTTATTAAGCAATTTGCTTAAGCTAATTACAAATTTTAAAAGATAAGTGCTTAATCTTAGAGGGTTTAAGATTTAAATATTGTTAAGTGAACAACGTGATATTTTCTCATTTTACTCATAACAGCATGTAATAAAATAAAATCTGTAGAAAAATAGCTTGCGCAACACAATATAATTAGTGCAGAAATGGATAATTTTATTTTTTTTTTTGACAGATACACTTGTATTGATTTCCTCCTCGAGCGCTTTTTTTTATTTATTTGAGAAACGTAGGTAATAAAGTTCTGATAAGTATCAATAACAATATACGTATATTGAATGTACAATTCAATAAGTCTCAATAATGTCTCAATAATTAACAATAAAAGATGATAGAATTGTTTAAGTCATTATGTTGTTTACTTCTCCTAGTCATCTGGTGTCTACTAAAGTAGTAATTGAAACAAATAATTTGAAACAAGAATGCCACAGCATCTGACGTAATATGACAAAAACCAACAGCAAAAGGAACTGTTTATCAACATCTCATGTTTTTCATTTATTTTTACCTGTTTACGAGAAGGATTTTCTGTGAATTGTTCATCTTTTGTCTTACGATCTATCTGGGTTTTTTAATTTTAGATACTGCTCCATTCCTTATTTAAAACTTACGGATTGCTAGTTTTGTATAGTAATGTCAGGAATTGAATATCTTCATCATAAGGTCGTCAGTTCTAAGACGCACATCCACTCTTTCCTATTCTGAGCTAATCTTCGCATTTCCCCAAAACTAGAAAAACACTAATCTAATCTAGGTTTATTTCTACTCCTCTTAACTCCTCTGTTTCTGCCTATAATATGTCTCTGACTTGACCCTTCATGCCTGAGAAGGTGTCCTACCAACCTATCTCGCCTATTCCTTATTGACTTCCATAGAGTCCCCTTTTCTCCTATTCTTTCTAATACCTCTTCATTTCTAACCTTCTCTATCTACTGTGTTTCCTATATTTACCTACTTTTTCTTCCCTTACATATAAGTATTTTTGTTTTACTTTTATTTATTTTCGTACAATACTGTTTTGTCAATACCGCTTCCATTTTATTTAAAGCTATCTCTAACTCCTCCTTGCTACATGCTAACACAGCTATATCATCTGCAAATTTAAGCATACTAATCTTTTGCCCTTATATATATATCCCTACAGTTGTACTGCCTTTAATGATGCGGTGACTTGACTCCCTTCTTAATAATTACTTCCCTACGTTGCATCTCCAGCCCTATAACTGCCTGTTGATCTTTATACAAACTAAGTATCGAAGTAGGAACTAAATAATAATTTATATAATAAACTACAAAACACCTTTAAGCTTCTTAAATGAAAGCCTTAATAATATTAGTGTACAATAAATTTATTAAGATTTCTAAAAATTTAAATTTGATCAGTACAGTTATTAACTCACCATGCGTCTATACCCAAGCTGACATACTTTTGTGCATTTATTTTTTGTTAAATTACTCCCTCCTACATATATACCTAAATAAAGCAAAACAAACGCGTGCCAACAGTCATTCAAAACAATATCATAAGGTTTGGCCATTGTTGATAGTTTGTTTTAATAATGTTAAAAAAAAAAGGTACGTACTTTATCTATATTCCTTACCTAGCTACCTACACAAAAAGTAAATTTAGGCACCCCGTGAATATAGATCTATACCTCTATATAATTTTGTGTTAAAAAATTACTGACTATGACGGTTTGCTGCATCCTTTTGTAGTTGATGTTTACGTTACACAAGAAAGTTAGGATCTTTTTGACATACCTATACCGTGTTACATAACAGATAACGCAAAACTCCTCGAGTTTCGTGATACTGTATATTATACGGTAGAGGCTAGAGATGTGATTTATTTGAAATACTTGCATTTAAAATGCAAATACAATATACCTAGTTCCATTTTGCATTTGAATACTTTTTTGAGAAAAGCATTTTGTATTTTACTTAAGTGTAAGATACTTTTGCATACGTATTTTCTATCGTTAAGTTCTGATATTATTACCGATCATACGTTATATTATGTATAAGATGAGCGATAATTTGACCATTGAAGCCATTAGAAGCTTAAAAGGAAACTCAAAAAATTCTAAACTCCATGGAAATGGATAATCCAAAATATTGAAGATTCGATAATGTTTTCCCGTCTGGTTTTCCGTGGTCCATGGAATTTCGCAATTAAGAAATGGCGAAACGTCAATGGATCACTGTAGAACAACCGGGAAAACATTTATCAAATTCATGTGCCTACGCTGGCCGTGAAAACCTGAAAACTAAAAAATATTGTGGTATGTTAATAGATATAATTAAAGAGTCTCCAAATTTCAAAATCTTTACTTATTGAATGAACCTAGAGCTAAAGAAACTATCAATTCCATTTCTTTTCATTATTACAATGTGTAAAAAATGAAAGCCAAATGGAGTTTGCTGTAAAAAGGTTGATACTGGTTTAAAATTATCTACATCTACAACCCTGTTTTGGCTCTGATTTTTTAATCACCTTTTGGACAATATATATGAAAAAAAGCCCTCGATTTTGACAAAGTTTTGCAAAATTAAAATAAAAACGCCGCACAATTTTGAATTAAGCAAAACGTCTTGGGCTTTTTAGTTAATATAATGGGAGGTCCAGCACTTGTTCCCTAATTGTCGTTTTATGAGCTTTGGCCTACCCGCAGCTACGTCCTGTTGCTCATTACTAATATGGGCGAAGTTTCCTTGTACGAGCTTATTGCGATAATGCGTGCGAGAATGACGCAACTGTAGAAATTGTATGATCAGAATGTGGCTTTTTCGGTAGAAAAGGAGGTGTGAATACAGCTATTAATACTTTATCTTACATTGCGCAATATGTTATTGTAAAAATAGTAACCAATAAACAAAATATCGACCGAAAAGGAAATAATATTATGCATAATGCAATATAAAGAACTATGTTCAAGTTCATAGTTTTTTTTCTTGCAATTGCCTACCAATTGCACTTTTATATCTCAAATATTGCGACGATGTTTTCCCCACAAGTCTGGTTAAATATGATCAGAAATGTACTGTGGAATTTAGCAAGGACGTCAAAAGGACACGAACTTTGTGTTCTTTTCATTTACCGGTTGGAAAACACCTTCAATTTCAAAAATAATGACGGTTCATATTTTACAATTACTGTTGCTAGAATTAGAAATTGTATGAAGGAATTTCTACATTAATACGTCAATTACGATGATGTAATTAAGATATGTTTGGGAAAATATTGTTCCGTCATTTTTTTTTATCGGTTTTGCGTCTGATGAGCGATGGATATCTGTTGGAGAATACAGAATAACGTCTGTATCTTCTCCTATTGTCGGTTCTTGGTATAGTTATAGGCAAGTATATGAACTTGATTCAGATACTACTGTGAGTTTGTCAATTTATCATCTTGATTGCCCTGTTGCCTTACTTTATTTTGACTTCTACGAAAGTCATTGAATGTCATTCCCTTCCGAAGGTGTGTCAGAGCCAACCAATGGAATCTGGGGGCACGACTTTACGTCAGAAGCTGCGTAAGTAGCTATTTCACCTGACTGAGCGATAAATTAGTTTATTCGAAGTTGCGGCTTGGAAAACAGTACGCAGCATCGCGGTACAAGTTTTTACGGCGTGATAACGAAACATATTTAACGCATCGAGAAACATAATCCTGTATCAAATGCTGTACTACTCTCTTGGGCATCGGAAGTAGTAACTTGAGACATACCTACCATTTGTTAATTAATTAATTGTATTTTTGCCGGTTGCCATTTGTGATTGTTATAAACCGTAATAATAGCAACTAATGAAAGGTCGATCAGTTATTTCGCGTTTGTGCTGTTGCTGATTACCTACAGCATTTTTTTATCTTCCTTCGCAGGAGTATCGTGGAGAATACTCTTCGTATTAACAGCGGTTCATATCTTCGCTGGCTGAAGAGAGCGAAAACAATAAAAGAAGAATTATTCATCTTCAAGTGCCTCAGTAAATAAATAGACATTACTACAAAACAACCCAGTGCGATATTATTGTGATATTTAGTAATACATATTTAGATAGTTAATTTTTTTTTTTAAAATAATGTGCCCGTTTTTCCAAAACGTTATGGCTCTAGGATCGAAATTGTTTCCACTGTGTTATGTTTTGCTAGCCTTCACGTCGTTATGTTTAAGCGAAAATCGTCCTCCTTGTAGCAGGTAAGTCTGTTTGTCAGCTGCAATCTGTTTCTTTTGTAGGTCTTGTTATCCTTGATAGATAAAACCTTGCCCGTTACATTAATTGCTCTTTCCTTTACTGCACAGAATTATTATCACAGCACCGTCTTGTTCTAACAACAAACTTTATCGACGTCAAGTGTACAGTATAATTTTATGTTTTGCAGCCTTATTTACTGCCACGGGCCATTACTTCATACTATACAAATGGCCAAAATTTACGAAGATTCAAAGACATTCGTCGATATGAAATTGAAACGTCCAGCTAACGAAACGTTAGAAATATTCGAACAGTTTATGATAAAACATAACAACACCCCAACAAATAATGACGTAAAACAATTCCTGAGCCATAACTTCGAGCCTGCAGGTCAGGAATTCGAAGATTGGGTACCAAACGATTGGGTCGAATACCCAAAGTATTTAGATAAGATTCAAGATCCACTGTTACGTGAATGGGGTGTATCATTGAATCTCATCTGGAAAGAATTAGGAAGAAAGATGAAAGAGGAAGTTAAGCAAAACCAAGATTTGTACAGCATTGTTTGGGTTCCTCATCCTGTAATCGTGCCTGGTGGACGGTTCAGGGAGTTCTATTACTGGGATTCTTACTGGATAGTGCAAGGACTTCTTTTGTCCGAAATGTACGAGACAGTAAGAGGAAAATTGGAAAATTTCTTGTATATTGTAGACACGTACGGTCATATACCGAACGGTGGACGAATATATTACATGGAAAGATCTCAGCCGCCCTTGATGATTCCAATGATTAAAAATTATTTCGATTTTACTAATGATATTAAATTTATCGCTGACAACATGCGTATAATGGAAAAGGAATTAGACTATTGGCTAACTAAACACACAAAAACGATTTTACACGACGGCAAAAACTATACGTTAGCTGTGTACGGTGATTTTTCAAAGGGCCCGCGCCCCGAGTCCTATTCGGAAGATATTGATAGCGCAGCTATTTTTAAAGATCAAGATATGAAAGAATTTCATTATTCTGAATTAAAAGCTGGCGCCGAATCGGGTTGGGACTTTTCTAGTCGGTGGTTCATTACAAACGCTACAAACAAAGGTAATAATAAAAAAAAAATCTGTTATTAAGACGGTCCTCTATCCTTTGGCTTTGTGGTGGATTCTTAATATTTTTTTATTCGCAGGAAACTTAACAAATCTAAACACTAGGTCAATCGTCCCAGTTGATTTAAACGCAATGATATATTGGAACGCGGTTTTATTAGCGGAATTTCATGAAATTCTGGGTAACAAGGATAAAGCTAGTAATTACACTGACATTGCCGAAGAATGGTTAGAGGCTGTTACGGCAGTGCTTTGGCACGAAGAGGTCGGCTCTTGGTTGGATTACGATCTTATAAATTCCATAAAAAGAGACTACTTTTACCCGACCAACATTTCTCCTTTATGGACAGGCTGTTACAAGAAGGAAGAGAAAGAAAAAATAGTTCGACTTGTCCTGAAATATTTGCAGACAGTGAATGTGATGTACCCTGGCGGTATACCAACTACAAAAGAGCATACTGGCGAACAGTGGGATTTCCCGAATGCGTGGCCACCTCTACAACACATTATGATAGTTGGATTAAATAGTACCGGCGATGAAGCAGCACAACGTCTAGCTTTCGAAATTGCCGAAAAATGGACAAGATCGAATTATAAATCTTTCAATGAAACAGCCACCATGTACGAAAAGGTAATGAGCGAAGTGGACTTTCCGGATAAGTTTTAAGATTGACACTCCACGTTTCTTTTAGTATGACGCAACGGTGTCAGGAGGTCATGGAGGTGGTGGAGAATACGAAGTGCAGTTTGGTTTCGGATGGACTAATGGCGTAATCATGGACCTGCTGGACAGGTATGGCGATGTTTTTAGAGTGGAAGATGCCCCCCCAGAAGAGTATCAAGCAATCGTTCAAGGTGCTGCCATCAATGCACCTTCCACTTATGGTCAAGTGGCTACCGCGTTATTAGCTTTAATTGTCTCATTAACAGCAGGATACATTGGGTGAGGTAAGTTAATTTTGACCGCTGTACAAACCAGGCATACACTACATTTTACAAGTTAGTGTTTTATACGCCGTTGAAAATAATATAACGCTTTAATTGGCGTTTATTCTATTAACGAAGCAATACTTCGTTTCTAGACGCACGTTTAATAAATCGTAATTTTCAGAAAAAGAAACTCATACTTTAAGTACATAAACAGGCAAGTTTAGTATAGATTATAGGGAAACAAACAGGTTATTTCTCGTAAATGTTAATCAAGTTTTTATAATATATCTGTAGATACCTGGGTACTCATTGGTATTAAATAAAAATTCGTAAAAGTATACAAACAAATGTAGTATCATGTGCATGGTTGTAGTGTCGATTATGGATTATAAATCTTGGAACATATAAGGCACGAAACGAGTATAACTTAATTAAAAAAATGTTATCCACGTAATTAACGCGGCTAATATGCAAGATTATCGCCGTATAACACTATAATTTAATATACATATTATTATTTGCAAAAGAATAAAGAACTTGATAATGGAAGTGGTTAAAATGCAGTTATTATTTTATTTTTTAGTTTTCGGCAGAACACTTGACCAATTTTTACGTGCTACATTTATTACTCAATACAAAATTATTATCTGTTACCACAAAAATTGTACTTGTATCTGCTGCTTTTAAATTTAACTTTTATATCTTTAAAAGTACTACAGTTATTCCGAAGTTTATTTTTGACTTGCGTTCTTGAAAATTAGTTAATATTTGTAATGGTTTTTTATCTCGTTTTTATACTTTAATACAGTAAAATAGTGTATGCTATTGGTTCTTTACGGTAATTTGTATTTAAAAACAAAAAAACAGGACTGACTGTTATTTTCTTTTTGTTTCAGGAAACAGCTTCTGTACATCTAGTTTGACTTTTTAAAGTCGCAACATGCGACTCGAATGTGTGATAATAAAACTGTAAAGTAGCTGTGTTAACATGCAATTGTTTTACTCTTTTTTTATAAGAACATATTTTATTTTGAGTGGCAAAACGGCAATAATTTGTTGTACGGACCTGTCTCGGTTTAATTTTGAATAACTACGGTTACCGTAACGCTTTATTTTAATATTGAAAGTATTATTTTAGTTCCTTAAACAACTAACTTGTAGTTCTTAATGTATGTAATTTTTGTATCGACTAACAATGAGGTTGCATCAAACTTAATTTATTTAACGCTTTTGTTTGTTTTTTTTTTTGCTTAATGCGAAGAAATTTACATGGGGTTGCTTTAGTAACATGCAACATGATAGCGGTTTCCGTAAGGAACCGGGGGACGAGAGATGGAGTAAGAATAGCTCCCTCCCGAAGGTGCGGAGACCGAATAAAAAAATAAGAAAAAAATCAATTGTTGAGGTTAATCCATAAAATTTTCCTTTTTTCGAAACATAATTAGTATAGGGGTGAAGAGGGGGGAGTTCCCCCCCATAAGCTTACTTACATAACACATACGTAATAAAACAGGGAGGGGCCAGCATTTATTCTCATCCCTGCCATATCATCATGCCGCAGGGCAATTAGTCATGTATTAAAAATAGCAACATTTTATGGAATAACGTTAAAATTGATTTTTCTCTTTTTCTATTTTCGCACAACACCTACCCCATCGGGGGAGGCTTTTCCTACTCCCCTCTCACGTCAAACTCCTCTGGTATCCGCTATCATGCCGTAGATTACGAAATCCAACCCATTTATGTTTTAATAGCAAGTTTTCAAAACAATAGCAGTATCGTTTATGTTGTTATATGAACATTTTTCAATACGACACCTAATGGTATTATATTCTCGATATTTATAAAACCGAGCAAATAGTGAAATATTTCAGTGAAAATGCCAAAGAAAAATTTCTAACTATTTTAAGAGTAATGCTTTTTCTATTATCCTTACGATTAGCAGATTTTTATTTGTTTAATTAGTAAATGTGTGTTCTTTATGTAACAAAAATCCTTTCAGCAAACATCCGATGAACTAATGTTACCTTTGATGTCTCCTTTTTAATCAAAAACATCGTTTTATTTATTATTGTTACTAACTGTCGATATTTTATAGTATTAATAAAACATCTGTTTAGTATGCAGGGTATATACGAAAATCCGTGCTCAGAGTGGTGATTTTCGAATTAAAATAACTGAACTAGAATTTAAATATCGTAAGTTTGGAGTTTTTAAAATTTTTTTCTCGGTGTATAGCTATTCCGAACATCCTGTATAACGAGTTGCGTTTGATGCATCCCTCTGGGAACGTGCGCAGCGCGTGCGTGGTAAATGTTGGATATAGAGCTTTATTATATATATATTTAATTTATTCGAATATATTTTTTAAATCCAAGCCACTTTTGCTGGCAAAATTTAGTGGCAATAAAAACAAAGGTACCTGAATAGTGCGTTGCATGCGTTTATTTTACAACCTTTTTGTCATTAGATATACGTTGAGATTAAAGAAATAAAAGATAATACCTAATAACATAAGATAAGTCCTGAATCCTAATCCTCAAACAAATACTACGACATATACGATATATAATATATTCATACATATTACAACATGTGTATTAATTAATTTAGCTCAAACTCACACACATACATAAATATAATAGCTTCTCCGTATAAAAAACTGACTTACTGCTTTCACAATCGTCAAAAAATTACTTCCGCAAAATAATACAAAATGCTTTGTTATATGGTCTGTTTGTAAAACGGAATGTACAGTATTGGACGACAAAAGTATACTATAAATACTGAAACGAAAGCTATACAAATAAAATGTACACGTAACTAGTAAAATTTTGAGATTTTATGTTTCAAAATATAATATTCCTAGTATCGGCTTCAGTTTTTGATTTATTTACCATAGTAATGCCATATACCGTCCCCGTATACGAATTTTACCGGTGGCCTACTTTTTTTTTAAATTCTTACCAATTATTTCCGGTTTTTGATCACTTTCGATTTCAATTATTGTGGTTGTTTATTAATTCTCTAATATTTACTGTCTAGTACCAAATCGCGGAATGTATGTGACGGTGAAAATGTACCTTTCTCTCGTTCTAATGACAAGTAGAAAGTTTGGAAGACATTCAACTTGTATTGTTTCAAATAACCGAAACATTTGTTTGTTATGCAGTTTTTAATCATCCATTGGCAGTGGTTTCTAAAGAATTAACACTGAAATAAATCTCCGACTTCGTTAAAATTTTAGTATGTTGTGCAGTTACTTATATTTACATAGTATTCGAGCTTCAAAAAAAAAGGCAGTAGAAAAACAAACCAACCCCGGTCTGTATAACTTCGTTCGTGCTGTCTTTTCCTACCATAACCTTGGTATATAAAACAATCAAATAAAATCATTCAAGTTTGATTAGGGCAGGAGTATAAGATTGCAGTAGGAAAAGACAACATGAGCGAAGTGAGTCTTTACACAATTGTAGGAGTACAGTTTTTTTTATCAAATTAAACTAGATTGGTTTAAGTTTCTCTTCTGGGGCTTCTTTTTTTCGAAGCCCGAAAACTATGTGAAAAACTGATCTAAACTAAAACTATTTACATCTAATCTTGTAAAGTAAACTGCAACGTATTAAAATTTCAACGAAATGAGAAATGAGTCCATTTATCGGGGACCTTTACCTCGGCATTTATTACGAGACATCACAATATAATATGTATTTCGAATAGATGAACAAATAAGTTATTATTTTCAACTACCCATTGATTGTAGCCACCATTTCACATTATTGTATTAATTTAAATCATGTTTATCGAAAAGAGGAAATTCGAAGAAAAAAAACGGAATACAAAATTGGTTTTTAATCTGTGGGGTACCCTAAATTTTTTTTTATATAGAATACTGTAGATCTACAATATGAGTAACTTGACCCGACTAGAACACGGATAGATCAATAAGATAACTTCGTTAACACTACTGATACATATATATGTGTATAATTGACGCAATTACGTAATGATATAATTAGTGTGTATGCATTTTAAGCAACCCAAGTTATACTAAATGAAAAGCCACCTTGTGACCTTGGCTAACACAATAGACACATAACAATCGTACTCCGAACCCTTCATGGTTGAACTGACGTGAATGGCAGTAAAAATAAGTCATACACATACCTTTGTACTTACGTATTATTAATTGTACAGTACTCGCAAACATTGTCTATTTTTCGGCGGTTAATACCTTTGTTTAGTTAAACTACATCTACTACGAACAAATACGGTCATTTTTTACAAATTCAATTGAAATAAAAATTTAATGGTTACCACATGTCAAAATGTATGCAACCAACTGTGTAGACGTTTAGACCCATCCACTTTTTTCCAATTGTTTATTTCCAACTGGAATGTGTCAAAATTAATGATTAAACAATAACTTCCGGAGTATCTAAAGTAGGCTGGCTAAGCAACGTTCTCATTTTTTATTTAAACATTTTATAAGTCGTCAGTTAACTCCAGAATGTTGTACTGTCTGCTATCTTCCTACATTTTTTATTGCTTTTTTAACAATCATTAATCGAAAACTGGAATTTTTAACCGTTTTGTCCACGATTAACTGAGCGATATACATAAAATTATTTTAATATAGGTAGTATAGATTATTTCTATAATGCGTACTACCTGGTAGATAAGAACCACTAGCATTTTACATTTATTGTACACAAACAGTACATACGAAAAGTGCGAAGAATTTAATATGTAATGTCTTAACGAATGAACAATTAGGGAACCTACGCAGCTATTAACAAATTAAACTCGATCTAATTAGATTTACCGTGCTATTATACCGTTATGAATGTACTTCTATTGGTTCGTAGGAGTTACTTTTAATTGGACGACCAATCGGAAAGGTATGTTGCCGGTAATTTGTTATGTGTTTCACGAAAAGAAAAATGTAAAAACGGACAAACGTAACCTCACCTCTGATACTTATTCCGTTTTAGAAGGTCTTTACAACTTATTATTTGCCAGACAGCCCGTCAAGGGCAGATTAAAACTGTTTTAGAAGATTTTTCGTCGTTGCCAAATGCCACTCGCCAAACTAACAGGTTAACAGCCACAGCAACCAAGCACCTACAATTTTTATTAAACTAATTGTATACGGTACAGTAATTTCGCAAAAAACGACTCATTTAATAATTTTGAACTGACCGAATTAAATTTCCTATTTTACCATCAGAACATACGCTTCTGTAAGCTACTGTACTTTTTGAGAAAATATCTACTGTATAGGTAACAGGTTGAAACGTAGAATTTAGTTGCGTAATTTTTTATTATTATTAAAAGAAACTCATATCAAAGCTTAAATTTCATGCATGTATCTTTTTTTACATAAATTTAATGTTTCTAGTTTAAAGGGCCTTTTTTGTTTGTTTTATGAGACAAAAGTATATATTTATGTGGTAATTTTGGTCTGATTGTGGTAAACAATAATTGCTTTACAGCAATATATTATATTGGTTAAAAGGTGTATGGTATTATAAGCGTAAAGAAAAAAATTCGATTGTTTACTGTATTTTACGTATTTATACGAGAACATTAGTCAAATTCATTCTCAATCGCGTTGTAAAATGTATTACGTCATTTTTAAATTAGAAAGGAAACTCAAAAATTGGTTTGGGGTTAGTTATTACCTATAATTATGTTAATTGCGTTTCATTTTCATGCCACGTTTTACCAGTTTATCACACTTTTGTAGAAGTTTTGTTTAGTTTTGCAATTTTATTATTATAATGGTTTAATGCGGCATCTTCTATTATTATTTCAATCAAAAAATATGATTACTCATAATTCACTGTCTTTTGCCAACGTGTGTATTAAAGTTGTACCCAATTTGCAGAATTACCTACACGTGTTGACATTGGTGATTTCATTTTCATTAATTGTTACCAATTGCACGTTATTTATGCGACCCCATTCATTGCTAAAACTTTTGAGATACTTCACAAAAAGCCGATTTAAAGAAAGCATCAAATATAAATATTTTCCTAATAAAGGAAAGTTAAAAGGATATTTCTGTATTATTAGTTGTATCGATGGTCCGATTTTTATGAAACAATATGAAAATACGAAAAAAATATCACTTTTATGTATTTCAAAATGAAAATTCATTTATTTAAACTGTACCATTATTTGAACAGGATTATGGCTGCTTTATTTTGAACATAATTGAACCACAATTATATTTTAAACAACAACTCTAAAATTTTGTTGGTTGAAGAAAATAAATAGCAACTAACATAAAACGAGTTGTCATTGAAGCAGCTGAACGGAATTTTAGAAATGTTTAATTTGTTTTTCCTTCCATATCAAATGCATGGATTTAGTAAGGATCAAAGATAATGCAAATTGTTTGTTAGCACTTATAATGCGATGCTGTTAAACTGTTAAATAAGTCTAAATAGCTGTACAAATACTTGTTTATTACTTTAAAATAAAAAGCAAATATAGCAGTATGCAACATATGGATTTTAAAGCTGCCAAACTAACGCGAGTATGAAAAAAAATACTTAATTATATGTTTGATATAATTATGGACTTATAACAGTGATTTTTTTTTCTTTTTGTAACTATTGAATACTTTTATTTTACGCGGGCTGAAACAAAGTAGGGACCTATATATTTAAATTTTATATCTGCAGATGCTATTGTGATAAGAATCCTTTAGAACTAATCATCGAAAGTTACTATTTAATGAAGAGTGAATTTCAGCTTAAAATTACCACATAAGTTATTGTATAAAATATCAAAAAAAGGCATTATAGTTATACATTATGTATATGACACCCTAGTAACCCTTTATATTAACCGATGATTTTAAATTTCTTTTATTTTATTATTGATGCGATGCTTTATACCTATACAGAGTAACTTGATAATAATGACAATTCCCCATAAAATATTTATCACCACTGATACATATATATGTGTATAATTGACGCAATTACGTAATGATATAATTAGTGTGTATGCATTTTAAGCAACCCAAGTTATACTAAATGAAAAGCCACCTTGTGACCTTGGCTAACACAATAGACACATAACAATCGTACTCCGAACCCTTCATGGTTGAACTGACGTGAATGGCAGTAAAAATAAGTCATACACATACCTTTGTACTTACGTATTATTAATTGTACAGTACTCGCAAACATTGTCTATTTTTCGGCGGTTAATACCTTTGTTTAGTTAAACTACATCTACTACGAACAAATACGGTCATTTTTTACAAATTCAATTGAAATAAAAATTTAATGGTTACCACATGTCAAAATGTATGCAACCAACTGTGTAGACGTTTAGACCCATCCACNATTATTATACATATATCATCCTTGGTCCATATATCTATATTAATTTATTAGTTCTGTTTTAATACTAATTGAGTGAGTGACCTCGTTCGAAGACGGAAATGCGTTGTTTGCCCAAAAACTGTGACATTTATATTTAGTGACAAAAGTGCTGTTCAACTACTTACTTATTTATTTTTTGTTGTAGAGCTTTTCCTCTTATATCTTGACGTTAAAAAGTATCCAATCACAATGTCAGAATGAAACACAATACTGATAGAGCAAATAAATTAGTTGTTTGTTGTTGAGCTATTATTTACATTATCCCTTTTTTTTTTTAGCTAATATACCAGGTGTCCATAAATTGTCAAAATCATTTATAATTATATATTATTTCTAATGCACGTAAATTCTCCAAATTAATTTTTAAAACATTGTAAATCTTATAAAATTTTGAAGTACTTACGTGTTGTTTTTTTAAAATTACATATGTACTTTTATTTGTGACAGATTATGGACACATTGATTCCGGTTGGCCATTTTTGCGTGCCTTTAAAAAATGTGAAAATTTTTCATTTTATCAAAGTGTTATATCGATTAATTTATTGTGTTGTTACATTTCATGTTAGTTTTCCAAGTAATTCACATTTTTTTAAGGTTCTATTCTATATGAATTATAATAGTGTCCATAGAGAATCTCAATATGACTTTTTAGCTTTGAAAAATATGTATGTTACGTAATAGGTATCTAAGCTATTTTACCTTTTTATTAATTAAATATGTATGTACATACTTAAAAACGCAATATTTCGCAACACAACTGAAAATTATAAAATTATTCTTCTGAAATGTAAAAAGATGTATTGAAATATACAAATCAAAATTCCTTCTTTAATTTTATTTGCCCGATAGATATAATATAATCTTACAATTTGTTTCCTTTATTATAAACAGTTGGTGATTTAAATTTCATTTATTCCTTTCAAGTTTAAACAGTTCGATACATATCGTGAGTTAAATTCATTAACTAATTTAAATAACAAGATGTCCAATTAATAAAATCTATTTGGGGATGTAATCTAAATTACTCTTTTTAATTTACCTTTTGAATAAACTTGAATTAAAGGGAACATACGGGGTAGGACTTAATTTAATTTATAGTAGTTTAAGGCTCAGGTGGTGGAAAATTAGATGGCGGTTATTTCTATTTCATCGAACTCTTCCGAGTGAGCCCTTTCAGTTAGTGATAAAGTTTCAGTAAAATATTATCCTTCAAAAGAGCAAGCACACGAAAGCAAGAAAGAAATTTCATTGTATACTATCTCATAAAAGAAGCAATTTTAGGGATACAGCTCTCCAACAAAGGACCGAAAGAAGATGCATTTTAAAGTGTTATTTATTTCTTCTACTATTTTTGCTATTTATTTTATTGGAAATTACACGGATTTAAAAAATGGGGTAAGTTTAATAAAGCTTTCTTTATACAGATAGTAATTTTGTCAAAATATCATTAATATTAAAATAAACAAAAACCAACCAGCTATTCGTTTAGCAAATTTCGGAAAATAAACTACGTTAGGATTTTACAAATACAAATAAAGTTTTTGTGTAATTTAAAACAAACAGAAAAAAATGTTAGGTAAGTTTGTATGAACACTTTTGCAAAAAGTTTTTTTTTCTGGATTACAGTGTTTGGTGTGTATACCNTTTACGCAACCGACTTTAAAATTGATTAATTTTATTTAAAAAGTAATTACACAGTAATTAATATAAAGCAATGTTCGTAAACTTATATAGTTAATAAAAAAGTATCACAAACTCGTTCATCGGGTAGACACTTTCCAAAGGCTTGCAAAAGAAGATTATCTTCCACCACAGAACCTTTAAAATCATCTAATGAAACCTTACCGTCTTTATCTTTGTCTAATTTTTTCATTATAAGCTCTACTAAATCCTTAACCCCTTCGTCAGGATCTTCATCCTGCGGATGTTTTATTAGACAATTCCTAAAAGATCGAATTGTTTTCTAACACAGATAACAATAGATTCTTATTTTATAATTAAGAAGCATACTTTAGGAGTTGAAACATTTCGTCTTTAACAATATAACCATCAGAGTTTAAGTCATATACAGCAAAACAGAATTCAATTTTTTCATTTTCATTTCCTTTCAGAAACAAAACCAAACCATTAAAAAACGCATCGAACGTCAGTAATCCAACATTCATTTTATCCCAAACACAAAATATTCTATCCATTAAAGTATCTTCGGTAATTAAGTCGAAGGTGTTATGCAGAAGTTCCCGAAATAAAGTTCTGTCGATTCCCTTAATAATGACGACAGTATGTTCATAAGTCTTAATTAAATGTGTAAATAATAATTAATTAAATCACCTCATTTATCGACAGTTTATTAATACTGGCAGTACTCCCGAGAGATCTGTCTACTATCTGAGCCGGTCTATTTACCGAAATTAGCTGTTTATAAATTTTATAAAGTGTCTCAGTCTCTGATCTGAAACAAGTAGATATATCGCAAATTATATTATTCAATTAATATTGAAAAAAGAATGAGAAAAAGATAAATTCATGAATTGTAAAAGATCTATCGAACGACTAAACAAAATTACCGCGAGAAAGCTGAGCTTCTTTTAACAATATCTAGTACTTTAGAAGGACATTTATACTCCTTAGAAGTCATTTTCTGTTTCTTGGGAGCCACTCGTGTTGTACTAGTCACACTTCTAGCCTTTGCGTTTCTGGCGATATTGAGAAAAACTGAAACTGACTTTAACAAACACGCACCTTTCCGGTGGTGTAGTCCTGGGGATTTGTTTACTGAAGTTGACATCTGTAAAAGAATTCTATAAAATATGTAATGTCGTGTTAGTAAATAATATAAAGGTGCATTGTGGGCTAATACAATACGAATGAAAGCGTTTTCCCCGAATCGAATTGCTTCAAATACATAAGAAAATATATAAATGTAAAGACAAAAGCAGGGTTTCGTGTTACACACAACCCTTGTTTTCGATTTTTAACTCATATAACACATAATACGAGAAAGTACCTTTTACTTAAGGTCCTGCACACGAAACACCTTACGAACCCCTAAACGTATCTAAGGAACAACCATTGATTTAACATTTTAATACATTACTTTTCTACGTAAGGATAGTAGCTGTAACCTGGATTTATTGAACAAACTGTACGTAATAAATTTTACTTTCAATTTTAATTTGGTATTAAAACTAATTTCTTAAAGATAAATTAACTGGCAATTTATTTGACGAAACAAAAGCTTTTTTTGTAATTATCTAATAAAAGTAAACGTTATTATAGGTACATAAGCAACAATGATAAATATCTGCTCCGTGATACTACGTATATGATTTGTGAGACGTACTTGAAACATGGTTTGACCTTTAACATCATGATCGCTGGGGGATCAGGTGAAAAAGTAAGTTAGAGCAACAATATCCTTTTATCAATAATAATTTTTTACAAAGAGTTCGGAGTAACAATTTTTATAGCGAGCAACAAAAATTATTCTAGCCCATCAAAATGAATAATAGAAAATTTATTTCGTATCTAATTTTTATTTAAATAAATTAAAAATTTTAACTGAAATTTAGGAGTGTTTCGTACATTAACATGCATTACTAGAAATATTCGTAGAATGCGCGTACCTATGTCGTAATTAATGCAAAAGTATTCTTAACTTGCCACGTGTTTTTATAACCTAAAATATTTAGTCAACCGGTAAAACTTTATATAAATTCAATTTCACTCAGTTGACAATAAATATTAAAACGATCATGTATATGAAATAATAATTCTAGTTACATAACATTAGAAACGCAATTGAACAGATAAAACACAAATAATGCATACCTGTATTCTCTTTACGTTGCAGCTCTTAACCCGTACTTGCAAGTAACTCCATTTGCACTAATTATTACACCATCGCGTATACTCGAATATTTATAATATAATAATCACCTTTTAGACATCCTGACTATTAGAAAGACTCGATTTTAATTAAATTAATCATTAAACACAAGTTAGGTACACGAAGATCAAACCATNTAGAGCAACAATATCCTTTTATCAATAATAATTTTTTACAAAGAGTTCGGAGTAACAATTTTTATAGCGAGCAACAAAAATTATTCTAGCCCATCAAAATGAATATAAAATATAAAAAATACAACCTACAAATCAATAGTGATGCCTACTAATTAATTACTTTTATATTAAATTAACAATTGTATATTACATGTGTCAGTTATTCAGTTCTACTGTAGAATTGCTTATAAATTATAATGTTTTATTTTATATATCATATTATCCGCGGATAAACTTCTTTAAGTTGTCAACAAGATCTATAGAAGAGATAAAAATGTTCTACAGAATCACAAACTTCTTACAGCAATTCGATCTTTTTTTCTGCGTTATTAAATTACAATCATAACTGTTAAAGCTGATTTCATTTAAAACCAACTTCCCGATCCTCCTCCAAATTTGGTGCTTAATCCTCCAATTCCTTTACCAAAAATATTCCCAACTCTTCCAGCTACCATATTGCTTATGTTTGATACATAATTTCCATCCTCGCTTAAACTTTCCATTATGTTTGCCTTTGTTTTAGTCCTATCGTCTTCCTCTAATCCTTCTGCATCCCTACATATAAATAATACGTTTATATTTACGCCAATGTATTTTAACAATCAGGCAAGTGTTATATCAATACCTTTCGGCTTGACCTAATGTTAATGCATAGGCAGCTTCCTCAGTAGCCATCCGTTGGGCAATTGTCTGATAAGCTTTTGAATTCAACTTATCTTCCATCACACCCTGAAGTTCAAAATCTGAGTAAATTTTCTGAAAGTAAAATTGTTTCAGTTATCGAAAAAAAGTTCTGAAGAAATCTGAGCTTTGTTTTGACTGACTTTCACAATAACTGCAAGGCACGTGCATTGGTACGGATGTAACGAATGGTCCAGTCGTTCAGATAACCAGTTGCAAAGCACATTGATCTGAGCAGTGTGCCATTGCTCGAAAAAGTTCAAGATCCACAATTCGTCTGTGATCTTTCCTCGAATTTGGTCCATGCAGTTACGCATAAAATTTACATAAGCTTGTCCCATATCCCGTCCCGTCCCAGATACATTCTAAAATTTGTTTGGCTACAGAATACAGATAAATCGTTAGTTTAAACAAATAGTACCGTAAAACTGAGAATAGAACCAATAAGGCTTCCCTCGTCATATCGCGACAATTTAGACAACGTAGCTTCTAATACGGATGTTAATTTATCAATCATTCCTTGAGTCATTGCCGCAAGTGTTTTATCAATTTGGTCATCAATCTTCGTATGGTACTGATGCTGCAAACAAAATTTTGTTATGTATGTAAGGTAATGATGTCAATTTTATTAAATCTTACAACATCAATTCCGTCGACAGCACATAACTTAAAGGACTGATTTTTAGCGTCCAAGATAACGTTAACCATTGCGCACATTTCGGAAGGTATAATGTAGTCGGTAGAAATGAACGTTACGGATTTCTTAAGCCACTGTTGGAAAGCATTTTCGGTCCTTTGAATGCATGATTCAATCATATCACATGCCATTAATTTCAAACGTTGCTCCAAGTGTTGCCTGAATTCAGCATCTGGCCAATGCAAATCCCTTATGAAAGATTGTAGCGCATCTAACTTCCAGAACAGATCTTCAGAAGTAGCACATCCATTGCTAGAGCAAAAGTAGTTTATTTTGTATGATTATCGAAATGGGTAATATGATTTCTGGGTGCATGTATGTTAGTGCAGTGTGTCCATTAATTGTATAAGGAAGATACCCTTTAATTTCCCATCGTTCCTTTTCAAAACCTTTATGAATCGATTGAGCAATCGACGATTCCATTAGATCAACATAACGTACAACCAATGGCGCAAAAGTATCTCGCAGGTGTTGATGAAAGCGACCATTTTTTAGATTATCTACAATTTATTGCAATTAACTCCAACAGTAAATAAACTGATTATTATTAAATTGCAATTTCAATTACCATCGGTTCTTAAATAATCATTAAGAATTTGAAATAGAGGAAAAGAATCCCAAGTATCCGGTGGCTGCTCAGCTAAAACTCTATCCATATCGACGGCAAAAAGAGACCAAAATATTTCAGCGTGTTCTACTAATAGGTCACTAAACCAGGCAAAAGCCTAAACCAATAAAAAGAAATATATAATAAAGTATCATTATTTAATTTTTTTTTCTTAAATATTTAATAAAATAATGTACATGCTGCAGTACTTTGATAAAATGCATATATTATAGTAGTGTTTGTGTATGTATTGTATTGACGAGTTTTCCGTATAGGACAAAGACCAAAAGAATGTCACATGCAGCTTTTCTTCAACTAAATGAAAGAGTACAGGCAACATATAGATGTGGTACTTCTATCTTTTCTTTCAGAAAAGTTTACATAAACGGAAAGCGTTTTCAACTTTGATAGGCTAGCAAGTTTTCACAAAGAAACATTTATTACATAATCCATTCACGTAAATTTGATAAAGAAGACTTAACATTGCCAAAAGAATATATTTATTAAGAAATCATTCTTGAAACGATAAATATAATAAGAATTAAATCTTCTTCACCATAGTGCCTTTTATGCAGCTTACGACAATAATTATCTCCAGATTTACAACACTGATTGAGAATTAAAAATTATCAAACTGAAAAGAAATATACGAAGAAAAGTATTTCATTTCTATTGTCGTTTCGTCTATAGGTACGCTTGATAGGATGTTTTTGTGATGATTTTATGAAAATGTTGCTTACCATTATAACGATATTTTAAGTTATCTAACATAATTTAAAATTATTATTTAAGATTTTTGACTAGTTCCAAATATAAATGATTTGAATTCATGTCAGGATGATCACTGAGTCTGCAAATTCTAGAAATTTAACTTACTTTGTTCCTGTACAAGACAATAGATTATTAAAAATATATTAATGTTGCTTAAGAAGGGAACTTTAACAGGGGTAAAAAAACTTCTGAATTATATAAACATTAATTGGAAGCCTTCTCTCGCACAAAATGACATTCTACAACTATTTGCTCGCTTAGAAAACTGAAAATTACTCACTATTCGTTATTTTTCTTATTGCACAATTAATTGCCACCCCTGTAAATTTGTATTTTTCAAGGTGACATATAGAACAAATAGTAGTAGGACTGCTTAAATAGAAGAAACACTTAATTTTAAGTTAGGCACACATGAAAAATAAATGAAATTCCATACTGTATCATTTATTTTTAAACATTGATTTATGCTGTATAAAATACTTTTGCTGTGCTGTAATTGTTAGGTAAGTGGTAAGTTAAGTGTAAAGTATTCTTGGAAATTATTCAGTACTGCAGATTTGTTTTTTATTAAATAGAGGAATAACAGAATAACTGTTCGTGAGGCTAGCTTTGCTTTATTTTTCATGTGTACCCTTTTTCATAAATAAGCAATAGATATACCAAGATAGAAAAAGAGAAAATAAACCGAAACTGTACGTGCCATAGGATCTGGTGGGGTGTATGTGGCATGCGAGGGCATGCAATAGCGGAACACAGAGGCAGAGCTTTGTTGCTTGCTGCTGGCGTCACGTGCCGCAGAGGCCGCGCCCCCTGTCGCACTAGTCGCAGTAGCCTTTGCGCATGCGTTTGTATCCACGCTCGCACTAACTTGACTCGCCTGCGACGGCGACGGTCGCTGCTCGGCAGTGCGCAGCTGCTACACACGAAGTAATACACAAAAAATATATATGACTTTACATTACGGCACAGTACAGTACAATACAGTCAACACAACAAAAGAGGAAATACAGTGTGTCGCCAGATTAATATCATGTGAATGAAATTTTTAAAATGACCTTTAGCCTATCAAAAACTTATTTTTCACTCAATGAATTATCTGGCAACAAAATAGAAAAGATATCCATATATCAGCGGAAATTGCAATACACAGCTAGAGTCTTATGCAATGAGGTGTTAAATTGGATAGTAATTTGTTTATTTTTTACTATGCTATTAAATCTCATAAACTAGGCAAAAAGTAGATAAAAATGTCCTGTGGTAAATAACCGTCCCCCCTTCCCTCTCCTGACTGTGTTAGAGCCTTTTCTGTTCAACTACTAATACAATCCAAGTAAGATGCATTAATTTAAAAATAATTATAAAAAATTATCACAAACTAATGTAGATACCTGTTACTATTTTTTTATACCAATATGTAACAAATTCCTATAGAAAGCCATATGTAAATTATATTTAAGGTTTTGTATGTTGTGATTATATATATTAAAAGATCTACAAACACTAATCGTAGATCATACATAAACTCAAGTTCCTGTTTAATAAAATGTACGCTTTTTAATAGAAAACACGATAAATATCTAGTACCAAAAACGAAATATTTATATTTTCATTTTACCTCAGCGTAGTGTTCTTCGTTTTGTTGCAAAAGATCAACGCAAAGTTCCGCTAAATGAATTAGGTCATCCAATTTTTTGTTTGGTGGTACAATTGTTTCTCCTCGTAAGTCCTCTAAAACAAACAAAGAAAAACCCATTACTCCAAAAATGAAACGTAAGAGAGCCCCTCGACCAAACCTTCTATTTTTGCTTCCGATGACAACTTAGTATAATTAACTAAAGCCGCAGTTTCTAAACATTTTTTTATCATACACCGAACATCTTCTGGAGGCACTGGGGTGACGATATCTTTCATAAGCACCCTCTCCAGCAAAGAGAGAGTGGCTTTGAGAGCTCCTTCAGGTCTTCCAAATGGGAAGCAATACCTAAAAATAGCAAACGTTGTGCAACTTCAACAAAATGACAATTGTAAAACTACATACATGCAATTTTGTTTAATAGAAAGTGAATTATTTTTCGTTATTTATTTACCGTACCTGAAATTAGTTATTTGGTGTTCCAACAATACTCGCAGTCTTTCTTTAACGTCCTGAAACTTATCTTTCTCTTCAGTAGTAACACTTCCGACTCCATCGGGCCTAATTTCATTGCTTTAGTTATTGCTTTGAATTAGCATTTCAAGTCCTGTTGAACATACGTACCTATTACCATGGACGTGACTAGCACAAAATGCAAAACTGTAGTGTATTAATGTTGGATCTATCATTATATTCTTTTCAGCACGGTCCAGCAAATCTGATAAATAACATAAGTGGCGATAACAACCCCTCACGCCATACCTAGCACAATACTCGTCCAACACGAACACTTGTCCAGGACTAAACCAACCCTAAAAAGGAACAAAATCATTAAATTACATTGTCATTTCGTTTTATTTTGTGTATATTTATTGAGGTACAATCAAAAGATTGTTATGAATATGTTTTATGGATAAATTAAAAATTACCAATGAGCAATACGGATCACTTAGACGATATTCCAGGGTAAGATTTTGAAGAGTTTTGAATAAAATTGCGTGATCAAACTGACAGGGGTCTGCTGATATGAAGTCTTCCATTCCATGCTTTCTTGCGCGATCAGCATCTGAAATAAACGTCTCCGTCGTGTTATTGAATTTAATTTAATAGAAAAAATAGTTACCACCCTGAATTTTTGATATTGTCGAGTTTTTGTCCTGAAGAGTCACAGGGGGTGTTGGTTTGTGTGACTGTCCAGTAGCCCTATACATAGCCATTACCCAAAGATGACATTCGTTCTCATCATCGCTCGCATAAAGAATGCTGTCGCCTTCTTTAACAGCATTAAAAAAGTAACGACCGCCTTCCAGATCTAAAAAATTTAATAATTATTAACCGAATTTAAGTTTATTATTTTTATGACTGTTAACTTACGCTTACCAGCTCCAACCATCAAAGTTGCTTGAAATAAATACATTCACATATAGCGTAACAAATCACTACTTTTGTAAAATGCTTTTTTTTTAGATTAGGTATTTTCTTACCACTGGAAGCTTCAATGTAGTCGACGGTATATCCATCAAGTTGCATCATCTCGGATGGTTCCGACTTCTTTTCCTTGTAACTGCACATGGCGAAAGTGTATTGAGACACCTGAACCAAAACGTAATATCTCTTCTTCCACTTTTTCCATACCGACTTCCCCAAAGCATATAAATACCCACAGTGTTTCATGTTGAGCGGTTTATCCATACGACATGCAATTTTAATTCTCAAATCTTGATCGGGGAGATTTTTTGGAACTTGCATCTTGTGCCATTCTGGTGCCTAAAGTTTGGAAAAGAATTATGTTTTACTGCGTAGTGGGATATTCTAAAAGTATATTTTGATTACCTTGGACGAAAGGGGAGTGGGCTTCAACGACACTTTTCCTAACTCTTTATCCTCGAGAGCGAGCATACCTGGATTTTCGGTGTATAATTTTACTTTAACTGATGGAAGAGGATGAGTCGTACAAAAATCTCCTTGTGTGTCCCACATGGGTTTCGATGCTTCTGCTTGATCCGTTTGAAGTTTTTCACCCCCTTCCACCTCCATTGTACAATAAACTATACGATTTGGTGCTAATGACTTAAGCCCTTTTACTTCCATTACCACCACCTACAAAATATACAGTTCGAAGGTAAATGATTGAAAATATTTTTAATTATTTTACCTCTAGTTGGAAGGTAAGGACTACATCGAGCTTGGTTAATTGGGTGTCGCTGTCTGCTGAATCTCCTTCTAATTTTGCTAAAGATCCTTGCGATCTAAAATAAGGAACATATGACATCAAATAGTGTCTCATTGTACACGTTTTGTTATGGTTTTGCAACCTGTGGTTATAGCGTTTTAGTTTTTGTAAGCCATATTTTGAGTCCATCGAACCTTTCGAGACAGGTAAAGATTCCAAATTAGCCATTAAAAGATTTATCGATGATTTTAATTCCTCTATGTACAATGATTCCATTTCTTTCAATACAAATTTCGGCATTAACTTCCGATTCTAAAATTAATTAAACGGTATTGTATTTCCTGGGCTTTCACGGCTGATGTGTACTAATTGTAAACTTTATTCCGCTCTAGTTTACTGCGATAGACTAGCCCGTATAAGTATTCAAACAATATTTTAAACTAAGGTAAACTAAATTTTTAAAAAATATCAGGAAATTTGTATGCTTTACCTTTTCCATTTCAGAAACTTTTTGCATTCTTCCATCTAATTCCCTACGAATTGCTGCAGCCTGTTCATCCGCCGAATCCAACTGGAAATGTTTATTTTTTAGAAAAACAAATTTTAAGAAAGGAGTACGTATTGAATACCATAAGTGCGTTAAACAACAGTTGATGTTCAAATTTCTTTACACCCAGTATCTGCTGAAACATATCGTACAATTGTTCCTTCGACAATATTAATTCAGAATTTAAAGATTGTTGTTGCATTCTTGACGGCCTTTTGGAATCCTCGTCTCCTAAACCTACAACTAGTTGTTTTTTTATCTTATTAAACAAAATCAAATTTTGCCATACCTTTCAAAATGCAATCGAATTTAGCCATCCATGATGTGAATACGGTTTCCTTACTTAGACCTTCCATCTCAGGCAGAGATCTGCAATAAAACCATTTTAATAATAAATTTTAGCAATGGAAAGAAAAAATTGAAATTATTTTACCTGACACGTTTTTCGATGTTATTCCTAAATACTTCTCTGAAATCATACTGTGAACAGGCGCCAGACTGTACCATTTTAACAACTCTGTCCGATTTTAAAAATACATCATAATAACTTTGGACAGCATTCTGAAATGCTTCATCCGCCATTATTTGGGTTTCTCCTTTAAGAAAACTCTTAAAAAATAAAAATGAAAATAAGTTTATGTAGGTAAAGCAAGACTTTATTTTTTCACATAATGTAATATTCTTTTTTTTCTCAATTAAAATGTCCTAAAGCTTTATATGTTCGAAAAGAGTTACCATCAAATTGAATTGAATGCTTCAAAACTTTTTTAAATATTTTTCCCATGATATATTCATGTAGGTCAACTTGTATTAAGTATAGTTTTAAAAATAATGTAATTAAGGTATACCACATTGATTACCTGAAATCTAGCTGTTATAGTTTCTAATTGGTGTTTAGTTATTTTCATTTGTCTTCTGGTCATATCGGTAGGTTGTTTCGCGTTGAATGGATAAGCAATACATCGGGAAATGAAAACATACAGCTGGATACGTCTTTTTCGCTCTTCTTCCTCCCGTTCTTGCTTTTCTTGAAGGTCGACCTCAGTTTTTTCCGAAGCTACAGAAGGCGAAGGGCTAGTGGGTCGTGGTAAAGAATTAGCTCTCGATGATCCTACACTCTGACTTAATGTTTCAGCAGAAACAGCACTGGATGGCGATAAGCAACGTGACAGATTACTGTTGGGTACTTCCAAATTTCCGCTTGACTCAGATACAGGAGTATGGTAATGGTACGGAGATGTTTCTGTCTAAAAAACCAATTTAAAAAGAACCTAAAGATGTAAGTTGTATAAAATAAAAAATAAGACGTGAGATTCGATTATTGGTTATGTATGTACCCGTTTGGATTGAAGAACACCTCCATGTTGCGGAAGGCCACCATGTTGGGGTCCTGTAGAGGAAGGTGCGTGTTCTTCCTCACTGTCTTCCTCCGAAGATGATGGATCAATCATCTCTTAAAGTTCACTCTTTTTTTGCGACCAATCTCTAAAATCAATCAAAACAGAAAATTGATTTGTAATTAAAAGGAATTAGTAGCGCTACGGTTGAAAATTGAAAATATTTGTTCCATTTTCGATACCTATTAGAACAAGAAAACCTTTTTACTGTATGCTGTTTCAAGAATGACTAATAAAATTCAGCGTTGATGTTTAAAAGTATACGTAAATTTGAAATTATATTTGTTTGCAGGAACCCATTTCAATTAAAATGAGATCATGCTACAGAAAATAAGATCTAAAATGTTTTTGCTCCAAATAATTTTTGTAGATTTTTCTCGTTATTTTAGTTTGCAAACGATATTATCTGTGGATGTTGCTGCGAGGTATGACCTTTATATATATATAAATAATGTACGTATTTTTCCAAGAAATTGTAAGAGGTACTTCTTTCAAATACACGAAAGGGTGGGCGTTAAAATACGAGGGTGGATTGATAAGTTTCCGGCCTAACCAAGAGATGACGTCACTAGGCCTACCTTGAGGTGACATTCTATAGTACCATCCTTGGATAGCTTGTAGCTATAGTTTCAGCCCGATCTCCTTGCTAGTGTAGGTTTGACAGCACG